AATTCCTTAGGTGATCCCAAGGAAGGACTCCAGAATTCCTTAGGTGATCCCCAGGGATCAGAGCACTCCAGCATTCCCTGGATGATCCCAGGACCCCCCAAGGTCACCCACCCATGGGATGACCCTCTGGATCTCCCCGTTGCTTCCCGCCCTTCCGGATTATCCGGGATCCCCCCTGACGAGCGTTCCCGCTCCGTTCCCGCAGGACAAGCACGCGGAGGAGGTCCGGAAAAACAAGGAGCTGAAGGAAGAGGCCTCCAGGTAAAGAGGCTCTGCTCGGACTCTCAGCTCCGGGGGCGGATTTTTCCGGAGGCTCCCGCGGGCTCGGCCGGAGCGGGAGGGCCGGGAACGTTCCCTCCGCTTTTCCGTGTTCCGTGTGGAATTGGGACGGAGCCGCCGGGCGATCCCAAGGCGTTCCGGGGTGATGGAGGGAGGGTTGGGAAGTGAAGGAAAGAGAGGGGAGGGGGTTTTTTTGGGGTGGGAATGGTGGGGGCCGGATTTGGGATCTCTCCACCTGCCTCGGGAGGGTTTTCCCGGCATCCAGGTCCGGAGGAGGAGGAGGAAGAGGAGGGAAAATCCCGGGGGGCCGGAGGGGGTGGGCGGGGAGGGGTGGGAATGTGCGTCGTGTGTGGCTGTAGTCGGGAATCCCTCTGGAATCTTCTCCTCCCATCCCGTCTCTTGGCGTCCCTTCCCCCCGTTCCCGCCCGGATTCGGGATCTCTCCCCCCTTTAATTTGCCCTCCAAATTTTGGGAATGGGGAGGAGCATCCCCCCCCATTTGGAATGGTCAGGGATGGGGGGGGGTGTTGTGGCTCCAAAGGTTTTTTTTTTTATCTTGGAATCACCCACGATCCTTTCCAAGGACTTCCCAAAGAAAGCGGTGGGGGTTGTTTTTTATTTTGTAAGAATCTCCCAAAAAAAACCCCTCATCCCTGTGGGAGAACTCTTGGATGAAATCCCGTTTTCCCGCTGTAAAGCCACCGGCTCCCGGAAAACGGAGCAGGAGGAGGGAAAACCAGGGATGTGGAGAATGGAATGGGGGGAGGAAAACAAGAGGGAAAAGGAGGAGGAGGAGCCAGAGGTGGGGTGGAGGTGCCCGTGGAGGAGACAATTCCATGGGGAATCGGGAACAGCGGTGGCACCTCTGGGCGGGAAAACCCGGCGGGATCCTCTGGTGGCTTTTCGGGAGCTGCCCCGCAATTCCCGGGAAAACGAGGGGTGGGAATTCCGCCCCCTCTCCCAATTCCCAGCGGGAACCGGTCCCTTGACCTCCGACCCCTCCAACTGGTGCCAGAGGGTTTTGCTCTCCACAAAACTCCCGAGCTCCGGGTCGGGATTCCGGAGGGAATCGCGTCCCCCCTTCGGCACTGCCCGGATCCCAGGGGGGAATTCCCGGGATGAGGGAGCGGGGGCAGGAGCCGGAGGGGCCGTTCCGAGTTTGTCCCTTTTTGTACACAAACGTTGTAAATACGAATAAACTGCCCGGGCCTTTCCTGGCTTTTCTCACGATCCCTGCCCAGCTTTTCCGGTGGTTTTTTTTTTTTAGGGAAAAGGAGGGAATTAGGGTGGGCATTGGGATGGGATGGGATGGGCCTGTTTTCCCTCCTTATCCCAAAAAACCCGGTGGGACTGGGGCGGGTTTGGGGTCTTTTCCCATTCCAGACTTGGAGCAGGGAATTCCATCCGTGTGCTGGGAGAAGAGGGAGCTCGGAGGGAGCTGGAGATGATCCATGGGTTTATCCATGATCCATGGGTTTATCCCCGGATTCTGGAATCGGGTCTTTCCCACTGTTCTGGGTCTCAGTTCAGTGCCCCCCAAAATCCTTGGGAGCATCCCAGGCATCCACAGGATCCTGGGGGATCCTGGGAAAGGACCTGGGGAGAGCAGGAGAGCACCTGAGGAGGGAGGAGGAGGATGAGGTGAGATCCAGGGATTTGGGAGCAGCCTGGGATAGTGGGAGGTCTCCCTGACTATGGAATGGGATGAGATCTGAGGTCACTTCCCACCCAAACCATTCCAGGATTCCGGGATCCTCCTGCTCCAGAGCCTGAATCCTGAGGGATTTTCAGCCTTGTGCTTTCTGGGGTCATGGAATCCTGGAATGGTTTGGGTGGGAAGGGACCTTAAATCCCATCCCATTCCATGGGCAGGGACACCTCCCGCTATCCCAGGGAATCCAAC